CCTCAATATTTAAATGGCCTTGGAAGGGTGGATGTGAGTCTTTAAATCCTGACTTATGCTGCTTCTGAACCAGACACCTCTGGGCTTGGTGGATCTCTGATCAGGATTTGGTGGCAGCTTCAGCCACGCATTAGGTTATTGGTGCTCTTCAAGAGAGATTACGTGATTAAAACATGTTAAGGATTCTGACCCAGAGCTCTGGCTCATGGTCACCACTTTAGTTTTTTAGTGTAATCATTGGAAAGGTTTATGGCAGAAGCCCTTTGCTTGATGAAGAACTCTGTATTATATTATACAGAGAAAGATTACATCTAAGTAATGCTTCATGATGACATCCAGTAGGTCTATCAAGACATCTTTCAATGGAGAGAAATCACACGCCTGCCTAGTAATTCTTTTTTGTAATTCACATAATTCCAGAACCATTTGTATAATTGTAGTGCATTTTCTTTAATGGGATGTATAGTAGCATTGTATATATTTTCTTTAATATGGTCAGAACTGAAGATTACAAATTCTCTTGACAAGTAAATATGCATATGGGTAGTTTTTTATACTTTTCATATGCTGTCATCCTATAGAGCTCTTGGCTACTTTGTACTTGTTTTCTGGTTACACCTTGCCTAGTAAAGGGTAAGGTAGCTTTTCCCCTGTGTTCTCTATTTAGAAAATGTCATAGTGCTGTGGGAATCCTCTGTATAAATAAAATTAACGCAAATTTGACCCAAAACCATTATGGCTTCATTTTAAAGGCACACTCCAGTCGGAAAGATATGTTTTTCCTCTTTTATTTCATTTGGTGCATCGTTGCCATGCAAATTTCCTCTTTTAAATTACTACCTAATATTCAAGGAATACCTAATCCCAGACATGAGATTCAGCAGGCTTGGGACTCCCCTGACCTTCTTCAGGTCATGCATGCTGAATATTGAGATCCAATATTCGGGCTCCTCCTCTACCCCCACAGGAAGCATTACAGGCTGTATTTTATTACAGGTATTTATATAGCGCCCACCATTTACGCAGCGCTTTACATAGTGTACATTCACATCAGTCACTGCCCCTTAAGGAGCTTACAATCTAAGGTCCATATCTCACATGCATACATACCAGGGCCAATTAACCTAAAAGCATGCCTTTGGAGTGTGGGAGGAAACCAGAGTACCCGGAGGAAACCTACACAAGCACAGGGAGAACATGCAAACTCCTTTGCAGATAGTGACCTGGTCTGGATTAGAACCGGGGACCCCCCAGTGCTGCAAGGCAGAAGTGTTACCAGCAAGAGGCTACAGACCTGCTTGCAGGTACTCAAAAGGTCTGTTGCAGCAAGAGATTAAGGAAAAGCATGTGTAAGCCACCCACCAATTAAAATTTGATATTCTGGAAACATCTCATCCAAAATAGGCATTGCTGACTACTCTCATTCATTAATGAACACCCATGATCTTTCAGAAAAATGTACAGTATGTAAACTCCTCCACCTTGCATATAGTCTACATAAAATATGGCAGGCAGAGAACTGTAGTTCTGAAGTTGGAGTGTTGCACAGAATAGCTGCAATCTTATCCTGAGGCCATTTGAAAGACCTATTTAGCCCAACAGCAAATGAAAAAAATTGTATACATGATGGATATCTGACTTTAACACAGTTACAGTATTAGCTTGGTTTATTTAGCAATTAATTAAATGATTCTACTTCCTTGGCGTTTAACAGAGATGCAGCACAAGCAGGGATACTTCAGGTAATGTTACCTGTTTTCATCTTCCGGCACTGGGTCTGACATTTGTCTGCTGTGCAAAATATTGGAATCCTCTGGGTCTCTGATCATGCTTACACAGATAGCGTGAGTGCCACACAACATTACAGGACATGAATGATTGATGGCTACAATCCCCTGCGGCAATAAAAGAGAATTTACAACTCTTTGCAAAGCAGTCGGGTTACTTCGGTAACTTGACACTTTGACTGTTCTCATTACATTATATCCACCTGAAAAGTAAATGTAAAGATTGATATATCTGTTGAAGTTTCCTTGAAATGATGTGTAGTCTTCATGGCCTTTTGTCTCTGTCTTCTCCCACGTACTCTTCTGCAGCATTTCGTTTTCTTGGCAAGCACAAGACATACAGATTTTCTTCTTTTATTTAACTGACATGGTCTTATTTAAAGTGAAATTCCAGGAAAACAAACACATAGTTGAAATACATGTGTTGTTCGCATTTTATCTTCCCAGAGGAGTTCAGATTCTCTTCAGTCACCCTTGTGATTCACATACCTCTGCTGCAGCATAGCCAGGAGGATCACAGCTATTTATGGTTTAGCTTTACAGCTTCATCTTTCCTTTTATTGGTGTAACAGGTATTGAGCGGGGTCAAGTGAGATGACCCCTACCTTGCAGCCATTACATTCTTACACTATTGTAGCATTTAAGTGTCCTTAAATCTTTAGTGCTTCCACCTAGAAGGGTAAGAGACTACCTCCCAGAAATACCTAGCCTCATAGGTGTATCACATACATACTCTTGCATCTATGAAGAAATGCATGTTCAGACTTTAATGCAGTTTTCAGTGCTTGACTTAAACTTGGTGATAGGACAAGAGGACAAAGGACATAGAATACCCAAAACTCACACAGGTCTCCTACAGCTCCTTGGCTAGCCGTCGCTGTGTGGGTCGCAACCTCCAGAAGCACCACACACAACCTCTTCTGATGGACATAGTCCCATAAAAGAGGCTAGAGTGCAACTTGTTAGGCACACATGCTCCGTCTTAAACAGTGCAGCAATATCCTCTAGACCCTGGCTCTAGTTCTGGGGCCTCAAAACTTGGCACACAGCCTTCTTAAACAAAGGGATGATACCCACTAGTCCCAGGCTCCAGCCCTGGTGCCTAAAACCAGACACACAGCCTTCTTTAGCGAACACCCATTCCTCAGCAGGGGAAGTGCTGCAGGGCCTCCCTCCCTATCTAGGGGAGACTAACATGACTAGGGCTGCAAACAAACTCCTTTTCCCAACGAGGGAGGAGGGGAAAAAAGGACCCTACCAGAAAATTGCACCCCTGATTTATTAAAGCTGGGTGCAACCGACTGATGACAAGATTGACCAGCTATCAAACCAAACTGGAATCTTTGTATCCACCCTGACAGAGGACTCTGGAGTTTCCTTAACCGAGTACCCAGCAGGTGATATCATATAGATTATCCTTTAGAGAAATGATCTGCAAGACAAAGCTACAAAAGTAAACCAAAATGCAGTGAGGCTGCTGGGGAACACATCCCTACATTGGACAGAGGTGATGATGCTAATTCATAGTCCGAGTTGGTGCAAGGAGCTACAATCCTTAGATGGGTGTTAGTGTCCCTCTCTGCCTGGCTGTGCATAGAAGACTGACTAAACAGCACTACTTATCCTTTGCTAGGTGTAAAGCTCACATTATACAGTATGAATTTAATCTGTATTTTTTTTCTATGGTTCCTCTTGGCCCAACTACTGCAACCATTATCTGATTAGCCTTACTCAGTATTGGATTATTTTTTTTGTGCATAATGGAGAATGCCGCAGTGTCTACACCCTAGTTGAGAGGAACTGTAGCACGGACCTCTTTTTAGAAATCTTAGCACAATTTTGGGGAGCAACATTTTGAGGGATCCATATTGAACCAAAAAGTCCCATGTAATATTTGTTCCAATACTGCTGTACATAAATTAACTAAGAAAAGTATAGACATAGGTTTGTTGCTGTTTAGCCAGCTTTTTTGGACTTTATGTGAGGTGGAATTAATCTATTGTGGATTTATGCTAAAACTCTAAACACTGTAAATTTACTCCACAATGTAATGCCTGTAAGTTGTATGCTCACCCATAATCAAGAAGACTTCAGCTTAGAACTATACCCTCACAGAAATTTGGGCTGGAGAGGAAAATAAATATTTTTAAAGGTATGATTCTTCCCCTTTATCATAATTTAACAGTAGAAGGCCTCTTTTGAGCTTTACCTCACATAAAAGGTGCACCTGTCATGTCCTCCTAAAATTGTTAGTTGCCTGGCCATCTGGTTCAAGGTCTGGCTAGTTGTCTTTGTGTCTGGTTCAAGGTCAGCAATTCACAAAGCATTGAAGCCAAAGCATGACAGTCAGCATTTTCAAGAGATAAGGTCAGCAGTCCAGCCTCCATAATTCCCTCATGACAGGTGCACATTAAAGGCCCAATCAGTTTTGGGCAGTATAGAGCAGAATAATTGCACACAGCTCATAAAAATATTCACTAACCCAGCAATGTGTCACCGATCCTTTTCCAGGTTGAATATCTATTGTTGTTCAAACTACTTGCTGTGAGTGCAGAGAGCCATGGTTCTTCCCCACCACCCTGGACTCACTGGAGAATGCTGTGGAGAGGGGTACTACATCATTATGTGGCACCACTATGGTTGCCACCTGTCCAGGATTCACCCGGACAGTCCTGGTTTTGAATGCTGTGTCCGGATTTCATGGCAGCTGAAACCTGGACACAAGATGTCATGCAGATAGGGGCAACCAAAATTAAGATAGGGGCTACAGGCCCCCCACTGAAATGGCAACCCTAGGCACCACTCCCTGCTGCATTTAGGATACTACCTTCTCCAGAGGAAGGGCAGACCTGTAAACAGTACTGGACCGAACTGAAGACACTTGGAGAGTCCAATATTATTATCATTATTATGTTTCTTTTTTGGAAAAAGTGTCTTGTGTCCTGCACATAGTATCCATATAGTATTAAATCCAGTGTAGTGAGTGTTTGTCCTGATCCAAGCTCACATTTTTCTCTACTGAATCTTGTCCATCAATGTAAATTGAACACCACTTAGACAAAATCTTTACACGCCTCTCTCAGCACAGTCTACGAGGAAACAGAGCCGAGCTTCAAATAGTTTGCCTTCTTTTTGAGAATGCAAAATATAAATGTGTCTTGCTTTTTATTTCATACATGAGGTTTTCCTTTGTATTATATATTGTCTGAACAGATGTGGGAGGAAGCCATCACCCTCGGCAAAGAGCTGGCTGAGCAATATGAGAATGAGATGTTTGACTATGAACAGCTGAGTGAACTGCTGGTGAGTTTTCTTCGTGGCATTGATGGCCACAGTTTTTGTTGCTGTTATTGTTAGAGTTCCGAGTATGTTTTGATGAAACATTTTATTTAAAGTGTGATTATAGCAGAATATTCTTTTTGTATATGTTCAATGCTTCTATAAAATGTTTTTATAATTTTATCCAGAAGACTTGGCTGATGATAGCTTAAGTGCATATATAACGCTCTTTGGGTTAAAAGTAGAGCCCCCTTTGAGGATCACTAAAAAGGGCTACAAATTTTGCCAGGATCAACAGGTATTTTTCTGTACAGCATGATATGCTATTTTTTTTAATTTTAAGACATCATGAAAAGTCCTTTATCTCACAGAAATCTTGCATGAATCATGGTGGAAATAAAAGGGCCAGAATGCATTGTATAGCAATACCCATAGGAGCCTTACCTGAGATTTAGTGTTGCATATACAGGTGAAGCTCGAATAATTAGAATATCGTGCAAAGTTCATTTATTTCACTAATGCAACTTAAAAGGTGAAACTAATATATGAGAGAGACTCATTACATGCAAAGCAAGATAATTCAAGCCGTGATTTGTCATAATTGTGATGATTATGGCTTACAGCTCATGAAAACCCCAAGAACCCCAAATCCACAACCTCAAAAAAGTAGAATATTACATGCAATCAATAAAACAAGGATTGTACATAGAACAATATCGGACCTCTGAAAAGTACAAGCATGCATATGTACTCAGTACTTGGTTTGGGCCCCTTTTGCAGCAATTACTGCAATTACTTTTTCACGATATTCTAATCGAGTTTCACCTGTATATATTAAAATGCTGGTGATAATGTTAAAGCTGTGGCATGTTGATTAAGGGTTGCTACAGATGAATACAACATGTGCTTCAACTACCACTTTCAGTGGCCTCAGTAGGCATTCTGTGAGTTTGTTTTGAAAAAATTCCTCTGTGCCCTAAAGCAGAGTAACAGAAATTCAGTGAAAGGGCTTTATCTGATTCTTATTAGACCATTTAATGTATTGTTAATTTGTTTTTTTACAAACTGTCTCACACACACACACACACACACACACACACACACACACACACACACACACACCTTACTACTCTCTCTCTTTAGCTCAATGACTATGGATCAGCATATGTATACAATTAGCAAAGTCAGAACTTCTGATCTGCATACCAGATTGGACCAGAAAGTACTGATGACTGCCAAATTACTAACATTTTCAGAAAGTGGCCACCACTGATTAGGGATCTCTGCAACAGAAGAGCCTTTATAGTTGCTACTCCAGCAGCCTGTTGTCTCCTATATGTCCTGTATTCCAGCCCTTCAGCCTCCATAAGCTTCTTCAAGATTTATCACTATTGGGAATGTCGGTTGTCTGTGGTTCCTTCCCTGACCCCTATGTGACTGCTGAGCCTTGGGGGTTGATTTACTAACCTTATAAACACACCACGAACATGTATACACCTCTGTAGTGTGTTCCCTCCCAGCATGATCTATGGGTGGAATCTAAACACCTTTGTAGTGTGTACACACCCAGCAGGTGTGTTGTGCAAAGCCTTGCATGAATTGCAAGGTGATGTTGTGTAAATTAGCTCTATGTTGTGTTGCTTGCGTTGATGAATGCAGGAATGTAAATGCATGAGCTAACCATTTTTGTCTAAACTGTGAAGCAGCATTATATATGCATCATGTGCATGATTTTTCCATATATGGCATAAGTGGAAATATGCTTTTAGAGACTTTTTGGTTGATAAATACGTTTTGCTGTGTGAAAATCACACGCACCTGGTGCGTGCGTGTGTTTAGGTTAGTAAATCACCCCCTTGTAGTTACTTAGGGGATAGAGGCAGAAAACATGGTGCTGTAACAGAGGGAAGGTAGGAGACATGGGCTGCTGGAAAGGTGAGTATAAATGCTTATCTATTGCAGGGGTCTGCAATATCCACATTTCATTTCAACCCAACAGGGTCTCTTAAATGAATGTCTTTTATATCTGCCCTCAGTCCATGTGCACCACTTGCTCTTGGATGGAGATTCGGATGGGACCTGTTATTAAAATGTTTACTCAGATTGTACCTTCAGAAAGGCTTCCACACCGCTAAAGCAATACATTATTGGCATCATAGCAGTTAATAAAGGAGCCTGTTCTCATAACACAGCTTCTTCCAGCAACAACCGCCTCAACACAATGTGCTTATTAATCTTCATAATGGATTCTCCAACTTTCATTTTTCTTCTCTCCCTCTTCCAGAAAAAGCAAGCCCAGTTCTTTGAAAACATTGTGAAAGTCATTCGGCCAAAGCCTGATTACTTTGCAGTTGGATATTATGGACAGGGGTTTCCAACATTTCTTAGGGTAAGTAAAAATAAATACCAAAATTCAATGGTCAAACTGAGCTGATATTAAAGAAATAAAAAGTTCAAAATACAGAAGTCCATCTTCAGGTAAATTTGCTTAGGTGGAACCGGGTGTCCGGACATTCATGGAACTAAAAACTGGTTAAACAAAAAGCAAGACAAGATTTTATTGTAAGGTGGTGGTTGTCACTGAAAAATGAACAGCCTTCAATATCTAGGGTCAGGTCACTGCATGATTACTGCATTTATTATTTATCCAAAGAAAATTCCCATTGATATGTTCATAAATATTGCACATGTGTGGAATCATTTTCTTTTCTTTCTTGAATAAAACATTTAACTATTAAAAGCCTCTTTTTCTCATAATGTATCTTATCTCCTCCACAACTTGATGTTTTTTTCTGCTCTTTGCGTTAAATACAGTAAACCCAGTGATAGAGGAAGCTAATAATTGATACAAATTGCAACTGTCCCTGTAAAATTGAAGGTCGGTTCAGCCTTCTGAGCTTCTCTATTTTGGGAAAAGATGGGCACAATCTAAGGAACAGAAAGAAAGGCTGTGCATATAACTTGCTTTTCTGGATCTACTGATTGTTTTGACACATACTTTTGTCTTTTTCCTCTTGGATGATACAAAGAGCAGCGCTGACATATTGACATCAGCACCACCTTCTGCTTCAATACACTTTAAGTGCGGGGTGCTGTGCTCAGGTGGCTGGGGAATGACACCCTGCAATCAGTCTTTCCTCGCTCTTCCGGGTTGAGTGATGCTGGATGTCACTCATCCCAGAGGACATCTTGTGGTGGAGAAAAGGTACTGTGGGGGACAGTTTAGGATTGAAGGTTCTTTTTTTAATGAAAACATTCAGGGGTTGAGCATATTAAAAAAGAAAAAAAAGTTGGGGTTTAAAGCTTGTTATAAGTAAACTTTATTGTAATTTATATTTAGTGTCTCTTTTAAAGATGCAGTTTAGTGTCTCTGTAAAGAGTTTGCATCTCTGTATCTTAATTATCATAACATGAACTTGCCACAATAGATGTGTGGTGTTTGCTGACTTGTTTCAGAAGTCACAAGTTTGCTAGCTGTCACCTTTACCATTTAGTAGGTCACTATAAGCCTTATAATAGGCAGTTAGTGATTCTAAACCCCCTGTCCTGCGTGCTTGTTCTAGATCAGTGACACCATAAGCAGTGAAGCCAAAGGATAAGGCTAACAGCCAGGTAATTTCTGGTTGGCTATGGCAGAGGCCATACGTAATAATAATTTTTTAAAAATATTTTGTATGTAATAAACATCTTTATTTTGATATTTAGCAGCCCTTTAAAGAGAGCGTGTCTTAGTAATCCATTAATCAGCTTTTTCACTGTAAAACAAAATTGCATTGTGCTATGAATTGATTTGTGGAATTGCAGTGAATGGCCAGGAATCTCTGCAGCTTCAGGAAGCATCCTGCCACTAGCTACCTGGCCTTCATAGAAATTCAATCCGTAGGCCCAACAAGCTCTTCTGCAGCTTAGACACATAACGTGTGTGTTAGAGGAGTGAATGATGCCGGCCGGGAATTGCATTTAGGACGTCTTTATTAATCCAGGCCTGATTTTCCTTCACAATCCGATGGGTCTGCATGTGTGTGTGGCGGAACGCATTTAGAATGTTTCACAAATCATTGCGCAAGGGGTCGTTTTGTCACTACCGTACATTAGCCGAGGAGCGGTAATGTTTGATTGCCTCTGTAATGCATTGCTGACAAAGATTTTTATTTTAAAACAAGCTTCCTCTGCCTCCTGCTTTCAATTTGTCTTTGGCACCCTTGTCAATAATTTACTTTTTGTGCATTTACCTTATATAACTCACTGGATGGGTTTTTTTTTTTTATTGTGTGTACGAAAGCTGCAATAAGTTAAAATTTGTACAGAAGTAGGTCAGCAAAAGTAGGAATCCATTGCCTGCTGGCAATCTTATTAAATACGTTAATACCCTGTTTTATTTCTGCCAGGATTGCCACTAATATTGAGCTGCAAACATTAAATAAAGGTCACATGGGCAAGGCATGTTTGTGTCTGCTGGCTGTTTGTATTAGCACAGTATTTAGATTGCCAGATTAAAAAAAAAAAAAATCTGTCTTCTGCTCTTAAAGGAACACTCCCTTCAGCATGCCAAATGTAGCCTTACAAATGCAAAGAAGTAACACTGCTTTTCATGGAGGCCAAGCTGTAGTGCAGTGGTTCACCCTTTTTTCTTTTGTTGGTTATTTGGTCAATATGGTTGGCTTTCCAGTTTGTAGTAAAACAGTGTAGTGGGGGATCCCCAATCCGGGAAACCGAGATGATCCAAACCCCAAGCCTCTAAATTGAACACACAATATCTAGTATATATTCCCAAAGAGTGTTAAACCCCAAATATATGATAATATATTTCCAGTTTGTAATTGGGGGCAGGATCCTAAAAATAAAAACCCAATTCATGCATGTTATTGCTGTCACTCACATACAGAAAGCATCAAAATGTGTCAATGCTAAGACATTTCAGCCACATTCAGCCAAGAGATGGACAGTCACTCCAAATGAGGGACATTTGAGAGCTTATGGGTTCATGCCCACTTTGGAAGGTTGAGTCTGATTGTAAGTGTCAAGTAGAGAAAGAGGATTTTACACAACACAGGCTTTACACAGCAGACCCACCAACACATGAGAAGTGGACTACATAGAGCACACATTAGATTGAACTGGTTGGAGTTTGATTTAGCACAGTGGCATATTTTGCTAGAAAGCATTAGAAGTTCATCCTTTGGTGTTACTTGTTCTCTGGGTTTGCTTTAGAAATGTTTAGTGATGACAATCTACAAACTCATACTTCTAGATAATTGCCAGCTTTGTATTCTTTACCTACCCTATTTTGTGTTTCTTTCCCAGTCTGACAGTGGCCATGTTTACTAAGGGCAGATTACTAGCTCTCCTTTTACTTCCTGGATTTCTGGCACACGTGACTAGATATGTGACCATGCACATTATCTCAGGAAAGGAAATGCCTTTCCCTGAGATCTTGTGAGATTACAGATGAGATTTCCTGGCAATGCTCTGCTGATAAGGCAATCCCAGTGTGCATTGATTTGGCAAACTGAAGTCATTTTGCATTTCAAATCAGGAAGTGAATGCTCTGCAAGTGTCAATATTTCAAAATCACAGCAGTTTACACCTGACATGTCTATGTTATTATTAATCATCATACATAGAGGGATGCATTGGTAGAATTTGATTTTAGAGTGTAAAGGTCTGCTTTAGATAAACACAGCCTTCATTCAGTTCTTTACTTGATCCAGCCCAGGTTTTCCCAAACATCTTATGAGTGTTTGAAGAATAACCGTGCGTACATACAATTAGCCTTTAATTTATATATAATTATCTTTTAATTTACTTTCATACTATCATCCTTTAATTTAATTCCCCTTCAGCACTCCCCTACAAACTCTTACTCACCTTTGCATGCTCCTGCCAGATCCACTCTACAGCTCTCGGGAGCGTGGAAAAATCCCATTCGTTCCTATGGAGAGGCTGTCTATCGTTGAGATGTATTAGAGACATCCTCTCCATAGAAATGAATAGGATCTTTCCACATGAGTGCAGTAATACCTGCTGGGAAAGTTTGCTGCGGAGCTTCCAGTTACAGGATGGCTAAATCTAATAAGAGGCTCATAGCATTAACTGGTCCATGGAATTCTGGGAGATTCTCATGGTTTACTTCCCACACTTTCATTGCTAAATCATAATCATAGTAATCAGCCAATAAGAGCGAGGGAATTTATATATGGATGTGAAATAACAAACGCATAAACCCACCGCTGCCACTCTTCATCAGAAAGGGAAACAAAGCCATTTAATAAGACATCTTTCGCAGTTACACATCACAACACCCTTGAATAATTACATAATACTAAAGAAAATGGCACTTTTGTTTCAACAAATTCTTTTGAAAGGCACTTTGATTCATGAGGCCCAGTGTTATTAAATTAGGGCCTTCAGAATTGTAGCAAAAAATTATGTTTAATTTTGTTGGGTTCTGTGATCTGCACACTTAAATCTGTTTTTTCCTTCTATTCCACAGAACAAAGTGTTCATCTACAGAGGAAAAGAGTACGAGCGACGGGAAGACTTTGAGGCTCGGCTGCTAACCCAGTTTCCCAATGCGGAAAAGATGAAGACGACTTCTGCACCAGGAGATGACATCAAGAACTCTACTGGACAGTGTATCCTTGATTATGAAGGATCATGGCTTCTACTGAATATGGAACGACATAATACAGTAACCCATAGCCACCAATCAGATATCCAAATGTATTCTCCCAATAAGGATCAAAGGAGTGGAATATGATTGATAGCTACAAGATACTGTATTATATAGCTCTGTGCTTGTTGTTATTGTATACACCAGTTTGTATGTGGAACACGGGGGGAAAAGGACCAGTGTAAGCTTTGTTTTAGCAATAATGAGGCATTGTAGGTGTTAACAGCGGATGTGTGAAAATCAGTACTGCTCATTTTTATTAGCAGCGGCTTTTCAATATGTGGAGAAAAATCTCTTCAGCTGGTGACGAATGTTCCTTTTGGATTATGGTGAGAAGAGAAAGCCATTTGCTGCTCTGAAGTGACATTCTGCCCCTTATTGTAGCTTACCTGTGAATTTATCAGTGCATTATGCAGGTACAATCGTGAACAGAAGAGCATGATGGTTAACAAAGGGGAGGAGAGCTAATGGAGAGATGGCTAATGTAAAACACATTTTTATAACCCGTTGTTAACACAAACACCACAGTCACATTATATTTTATTTGTTCATATCTATCACTAAATGTTTAAATGAAGTAACTAATATTTATACACTGAGTGACCAGATTATTATGACCACCTGACGTTTGTAGGCTAATTAGCTATAATTTTGCTCTGAAGTTATCATTTTTTTAAATGTAACTCTATCCAAAACTGATGATTACTGAGTGGTGCCCAGGCTTTTTGGTTGGTCCAAGCACTGAATGATTTGCCAGGTTGACATCACCTTTAGGTCACCCAGTGGTATTTTTCTATTGTTTCTCCTACAGGTACTTTGTTAGCTTGACAGCTTTTCTTAAAATTCATCAGCAGGTACAAGCCTTGCTTCCTGAGCTGTCTGTAAGCTATTCGCCGCTTGTTGTGTGGGGGGTAGGGGGTGTGCTTGCAGGGTTTGATAACTGGGGGGGTTGTTGTTGTGCTGATTTGTCTTTGTGAGGGGGGTGGACGCAGCTCTCACTGGCTCTGCCAGCTCACTGACATCACCGAGAGCTTGGCGGGACGCAGTCCAGAGTGTCCCGCTCTGGCAGCCAGGGAAGTCAGTGAGCTGGGCAGAAAGCCACATAGAGCATCACAGGTTGCTAAGAGCTCTTGGCACCTACATCTATACTTAAAATGCATTATATCTTTTATATCGAAAACCTAACTTTTTTTTAGCTTTGGATAAAGAAGGAAATGGTTAAACACCCCATGTCAGTTTTTTTTTTAATGCTTTTTGTTTTTTGGGAGAATTTTTTTTTCATTCATTCATTTGTCCTGTCCCAAGACACAAAAGGAAGCGAGACGTGATTTCTGCAAAGTAAGGAAATCTTTTCTTGGACAGCTGTCACTGGAACAGGTGCCCCTATTGGCATATTTACCCTCTGTTTCTGTTCCAGTGTAAACGATAAGTTTTGGATTTTTTTCTCACTTTAAGTCCTGGTGACAATGGTCATTAGGAGAAATGGAGAGGGTAAATCTCCCCAGTGTGAACAAAGACAACAATAATAACTTGACCAGGGGTAATAGCCTCTTCTTTGATCATCCAAGATGAACTAAAACATTTTGGCTTTAGATACATTTACATCAAAAATGGAAAATATTTTCTGAGCGTTTTCCTTTACTTTCTGATGATCAGATATTCAGTGTTTCACAGTGAAGCCGCTGCTTGAATTGCCCCCGAAGTTTAAGAATAAGCATGTCTCTGAGCAGATACTAAGGTAGATCTGGAGTTCAGGTGGCTTTTACAGCTTGCACATTTCATTGCACCGTTTTTTTTTCTTTTTCTTTTCTTTTCTTTTATAATTTCCTTGCAGAAATCAATAAATGGCATTAGTAGGATGACGTTGCAAAAAGAAAACATTCATGATTATTTAACTGTTCCACATTTTGTCAGCAAAGCTTATATTTGTCGAGTGAATTTACATGATTCCTCTTTGTGATCATGCAGTAATCCCCAGGAGGGTTGAAATTGTGCAGCAGATGCAGAAGAGTCGTTACATAATAGTGAGTCAGTGCTGGCTCACCCATGAAGATGTGTGTTTTCTGTTAGTGTGTAGAGGGAGGGAGGCAGTGTACCCCCCTAGGGACACACAGCGGCATACCATCGTAGTACGTCAGAATCCTGTGCTCTGGCACTGGGAACATAAGCTATAAACCATGGTCCTGAAAAAAAAATAAACTGTATTTTGTAAAGCCCTATAGAAAAAGTATTGTAATGCACCTACATAGAACCCAGAATTCATATAAAAAGCAGCATATTATGAAAATGAGGAGCTGCTGAGATCATAGAATATTTTTTAAAAATTTCATTGCAGTGGAAAGAAAATTTGTAGTTCAGGAATTGACACTGTGGAAAGTTTTGGGTCAGTGCCCAGCCCCTCCACTACATCATCCTGACTGACAGCATGGCTTAGAGAGCAAAAAGGGAAGTTTATATTCCATCATGGGAGCGGATTGTTTTTTTCATTTGATCTGCCTAAACCCAACTGAGCCTTCAGTTTAAAGGAGAACTATGGGGTTAAGGCTTTTCCCCATAGTTCTCCTTAGGGTAACGGGAGGACACAAACTAGCGTCCTCCCGTCACCCTAAGCTCAGTATACCACGGGCTACAGCTCGCGGTATACCGAGACACCACAGCTGAAGCGGATGCCGACAATTATGTCTGGATCTGTACAGCTGTGTGAGTGACAGCTGGCTCTGCCTATGTAGAGGCAGAGCCAGCTGTACCCGCCCCCTCCCCCGTCCGTTCCGCCAGTCAGCGCTGGAGGATCGGAGCGGGGAGGGGGGAATCCAGTCCCTCCCCTGTCACGGCACAGAGCCGTGACAGGATCGAGAAGTGAGCGAACACCGGTATGGGGGAGGGGGAGGCTCATCTACGGTCTGAAATAGAAATAGCTGGGAGGGAGGGCAATGTAGTCGTGATGGGCGACTTCAATTACCCGGACATAAATTGGGCAAATGGAACCTCAAGTTCAACAAAGGCGGGCCGATTTCTGAACATGTTGCGTGACAATTTCATGGACCAGATGGTGGAGGTCCCAACTAGGAAAAATGCCATCCCAGATTTAATCATTACTAATAAATCGGAGTTAATTGAGGATATTGTTATTGGGGAGACACTGGGAAATAGTGATTGCAATGTGATTACTTTCTATATTGGATAGAGGAAAGGGAAGCGGGCTGGTAAGACAAGAACCCTTAATTTCAGAAGGGCTAACTTTGATAAACTGTGCCACCTAGTGGGGGACATCAAGTGGGAAAATGTATTTCACGAACTGAACTCAGACCAAAAGTGGGAATGTTTTAAAAACACCATACATATTGCCATTGCCAAATGCATACCGTTGGGTAATAAAAGTAAAAGATCACAAACAAAACCTGTATGGCTTAATAAAACTGTAAAGCATCACATAAAGGAAAAGCAAGTGGCATTTATAAATTATAAGATGGAGGCGACGGCATTGTCGTTCGTTAACTACAAAGAATGTAATAAAAGATGCAAACTAGCAATACGGGCAGCTAAAATAGAGTGCGAAAAGCAGATTGCCACAATATTTAAACAGTAAAAAGGGGAGAAAGGAGCATATAGGCCCCATAAAGGACAAAAATGGGAAGTTGGTCACAAACGACAAGGAGAGGGCCGAAGTGCTGAACACTTTTTTCTCCTCAGTATACACTCAGGAGGGAAACGGGTTTGACACCGATAATAAAACACATCACAAAATATAGCCAAGTGGTTGACGGAACCCGGGATACAAAAAAGACTTAGTCTACTTAATGCAAATAAAGCATTGGGACCGGACAATCTACACCCCAAGATACTTAAAGGAGAACTATGGGGTCAGTGTTTTTCCCCATAGTTCTCCTTAGGGGTAACGGGAGGACACAAACTAGCGTCCTCCCGTTACCCTAAGCTCAGTATACCGCGAGCTACAGCTCGTGGTATACTGAGATGCCGCAGCCGGATCTGATCCCGACGTAGATGACGGGATCCACCCAGCTGCGTGAGTGACAGCTGGCTCTGCCTATCTAGAGGACTGGGAATTACCGACCAGTTAGTCTTACATCGGTAGTTTGTAAACTGTTAGAGGGCATGATTAAGGACCAATTAGTAGAATTTGTGCGGGAAAATGACAAAATAAATGACAACCAGCATGGGTTTAGGAAGGACCGTTCCTGTCAGACTAACCTACTGACTTTTTACGAGGGGGTAAGTAGAGATCTGAAGGCAGGGAGGTCTGTGGATGTGGTATATCTGGATTTCGCTAAGGCTTTTGATACGGTACCTCATAAACGCTTACTATACAAGCTGAGAGCTTTGGGCATAGATGGAAGGGTGTGTACATGGATAGAGAACTGGCTAAGGGAACGGGTACAGAGAGTATCAATAAATGGCGCCCTTTCAGACTGGGATAGTGTCATTAGCGGTGTGCCTCAGGGTTCTGTGCTGGGACCCATGCTTTTCAACCTGTTTATTAACGACATCGGGGACGGAGTACACGGCGATATCTCAGTGTTCGCTGACGATACCAAAATTAGGAGGGTAGTAGAAACAGAGCAAGATAGTGTAACATTGCAGGAGGACCTGCATAAAATAGGGGAATGGGCAACTATGTGGCAGATGAGGTTTAATGTCGATAAATGCAAAGTTATGCACTTTGGGAGGTATAATAGGCAAATGGGTTATACAATTATGGGTATGCCGCTAGGTTGGACTTGATGGACTTATGTCTTTATTCTCTCTCAAATACTATGTTACTATGTTACTTTCCGATCTACTGAGCCGACCTGTGACAGTCTCATTGTCACAGGTCGGCTAGAACTATGAGGTAAGTGAAAATCACTCACCTCATAGTTCTCCTTTTAAATACATCTCCGGTGCATCAAAAAACAAAAGGTAGCCACAGCTTGAGTAGAAGAGTTCATCAGATGCCAGCAGCTGCAGTGTTGCTCTGTGTGGGGAAGCAATGGTCTGACTGCAGAGGTCCGACATGCCCCCGAGTCAGGCTTATAGTTCTACAGTCAACAAAGCTCATAGTCCCTGCTGATTGGAGAGCTCCGACTCTGACCCAGCAGGGGGTATGTCAGACCTCTGCAAAGAGACCACTGCTTTCACACAGCTAGGGTCCTTCTCTGCAGCGTGCTGGCAGGGGACAAGTTTTTCTGTTCAGGCCTTTGGCTGATTATAAGTAAAATAAACCATAGGACGTTGTTGAACACCGTTTGTTTTGATGCTCCTGAAATGTATTTAGCAGATTTACCCTGAAACCTCCATCGGACGTTAAATATTTACTGGGGGTGGAGTGGCCACATTAGGTTCTATATTTTTACATATTTTATTATATATTACACAAAGAAATCTAAAAGCAGCCCTGAGTTCAGGCAGGAGGTTGACCAGCCTACATGGAGTCGTTTATTCTGTCAATTCTGCTCTGACAGGTAATTACAAATGACCATTTTGACTGGTCCTCTTTAAAGTGTATGTAATGTTAATAAGATTTTATTGACGGTTTTGTAAAAACATAAAACAAAATTTCCCTTTGCATTCCCTAAATGATACATTAAATAATTAACACGGTTACACAATAATAAAACCTATATTCACAATAATAATATTTATATATTTGTATAATCAATTGCTCTTAATTATCTAGTGGCTGATTCTGCTGCATTCATTGTCTTATAATGCCTCAAAGATGGTAGGAGGGTAAACAGACAATGACAGGGGTGAAAAGGATCCTTTACTATAGTTAATGCTCTGTTGACACAATGAGTATGAAAAATGTCTTCCAAAGTAGAAGTTGACTGCCAGATTTTAAATTTTTTTTAATGTCAAAGCAAAATTAAAAAAAATGTAGTACCTCTTTGCAATGCATGCTCATTTCTTTACATTTTGTGAACCCTTTAATCACTGCACACAGAAAACTTTCTCTTGATGTGTCAGAAATTTAGTGTGCTCTCATCTTCCTGTGTGAAAAACCAACACAGTGTATTTTTGGCTCTTAATTCCTAAGCACTTGGTGTCAGCCCTGCCTACTTCATTTCAGATAAATTACAAAGAACACAGACCCATCCTCATCCATGCCCCCTTCTCCTCATCTCCGCTCTCTCTCTTCATCTCCTCTCTCTTCATCTCCTCTCTCTCTCTCTTCCTCTCCTCTCTCTCTCTCTCTCTCTCTCTCCATCTCCTCTCTCTCTCCATCTCCCCTCTCTCTCTCTCTCCATCTCCCCTCTCTCTCTCTCTCCATCTCCCCTCTCTCTCTCTCTCCATCTCCCCTCTCTCTCTCTCTCCATCTCCCCTCTCTCTCTCTCTCCATCTCCCCTCTCTCTCTCTCTCCATCTCCCCTCTCTCTCTCTCTCCATCTCCCCTCTCTCTCTCTCTCCATCTCCCCTCTCTCTCTCTCTCCATCTCCCCTCTCTCTCTCTCTTCATCTCCTCTCTCTCTCTCTTCCTCTCCTCTCTCTCTCTCTCTCTCTCTCTCCATCTCCTCTCTCTCTCCATCTCCCCTCTCTCTCTCTCTCCATCTCCCCTCTCTCTCTCTCTTCATCTCCTCTCTCTCTCCATCTCCTCTCTCTCTTCGGCTCCTCTCTCTCTCTCTCGCTCTCTCTCTCTCTCGCTCTCTCTCTCTCTCGCTCTCTCTCTCTCTCGCTCTCTCTCTCTCTCGCTCTCTCTCTCTCTCGCTCTCTCTCTCTCTCGCTCTCTCTCTCTCTCGCTCTCT